GGGGCTTCATTGACGTTGACATTTCCCAAACTCATAAGTATTTCAAAGTTGCATAAAGATATGGTCACATAGTCATAGCATAGATATTCATTATTTCATTTTACACTTTCAGACCCCAGATTCGTACGGGTCAATGTTAGAATTGTCCTGGCGTGGATCTAAACCAATTCCACTTGCTCCTGGGATTGAGCGAAAATTTCTTCAAGATGGTGACGAGGTCATAATGGGCGCGCATGCGCAAGGAGATGGATACGTGATTGGATTTGGTAGTTGTGAAGGAAAAATCTTGCCCGCTCTGAACTTTCCCTGAAGTATGGCGAAAAACAGAACACAACTTTAATGACTTGCACTTCCCATGCATGAGGTAAGTGCTTATATCAGTTTTTTAAAAATTAACTAAAATGCGAAAGTGATGTATTAATCGATAATCTAATAAGTAGTGAAACAATAAAATATGCAGACATATTTTCGATCGCTACCCTGGTTCGAGTAATCAATAAGCCAATTCGGAGTTTCGACTGCGCATCCAAATGTAGTTGTGACTGGAAGAATTAGAATATGCATATCAAAGTTTTCAACTGTTCAATAATCATTTAAATGTGCAAAAAGTTAATAGAAAAATTACTTTCCGCATGGTAGATTCGATTTAAGTTGCAAAACTTAATTTCACAGCCAACGCCCTTTGCAATGGGTGTTTGGCGCAGCTCGCTTTCTGGGCTATAACGCTTTCTAGAAAGCAAAAGTAGACACAAACCAGCGTATTGTAGAACACTATCCAATGAACACTAGATCCACTGACATAAAAACATTCACATTAATTCGTATAAAATATTTGAATTCATTAACTTTACAGTCGCCCATTTCTAATTGCGATAGAGAATGCGTGCCCTATCATATCTCCTAAACTGCTTATAATTATATACCATTGCACACACAAATACAATGCTGTCTACTCCACAATCCGTTGTTCAACATTCTATGGTATCCATTGGCTTCCCTTGCTTGCTTTCTTTAAAGTTTTGATGCAGTAGTGAGGTTTAAGATGTTCGTTGTTCGTGGTTTAAGTTCAGCCCCATTTGCTCTAAGTACTCCATCGCTTCCTTCGTCTCTTCCTAAAAATGAGAATTATAAAATACTTTTACAGGTCTGTCTAGATCAAGATGTTAAGAGCATGGTCACATGGATTTCGTTTGTTTCATTAGATTTCATGATCAAACCACTATTATATATAAATTACAGGCGAGGCAGCACACTACTCTTGACACAACCCCTGGAACGAGGTTGCTTTTGACACTACTTCGTTTCTCCAGAGTTCATTCGTTCCTATTCCTTTGCGCAATGTACATATTCCTTTGCGCAATGTACATATTCCTTTGCGCAATGTACATATTCCTTTGCGCAATGTACATATTCTTGCGAATCTCGGCTTGCGTGCAATGAATCCGCGTACTTACGTATACCGGAGGTACGCCAATATTACGGTCTGATACTTCTTTGTTTTCAACCAAGTACCACGTAGGTACGCGGAACTCTTGCTATCTGCGTACTTACATTTTGCTTACAAATGGCCTTTCCAAGTCCAAGGTATTCAAAACCCGTAACTAAGTCCGTATATGTGTAAGTCTGACATGTCTCTGCATGAAACATAATTGGACTGATGGCACTAGACTCACTAGTGAATATTGGAGTCGACTATAATCACGTATCCTCCTTATGTTATGCTCCTTGTTTCAAGTTTAATACTGAATGAATACTTTTCAGAAACCTATGCTTTATGTACTTCACTTTAATTAAACACAAAGTAAACCTTCAGTCTCAAGTACGGGCAAAACCATTAAAGCACCAGTCAGTACAACTAAAAATCGTGAATTATCGCAATAGGTGTAACTCAAGAGTTAAAGGAATACGGAATGGTTTTCCGTGCAGGATTGTGTGATCCATGCACGAGGGATGTCGCGAGACTTTCGGAAAGCGTAAAAATACTCGAGCCGTAGGCGAGTGTATTTTTACGCTTTCCGAAAGTCGAGCAACATCCCAAGTGCATGGATCACGCTATCCTGCTTGGAAAACCATTTGGTAATTGTTTTATAAAATAACTACAGTGAAAGAATGACATTTTGAGAATCCCGCGAAAATCTCGCGAAGGCATTTTAATTCCTCGTGCAGGATAGCCTGATCCTGCACGGCTATTGACCAATCAAATTGCGTGTTTCACTGTAGTTATTATATAAATAATATTACTACACATCTCAATCGTGTTTTATACCTGTTTTTTCGCACTGCTCCATCCCAATTCCTTTGCCATGATCTCAACCACGCGTGGAACAACGTCGCGCGCGACCTCCACGTTTAGAAACGCGAGTCGTGTACGTCTCGCGAGGACATCCACAACAGTACACGCATATTCCTGTAAAGCGAACTTAACATCCGCCTCAATGTATGGAAACTCTTTAGCCAACCTTTTTCCAGGTCCACTGACCTCTTTGCAAACCTGGACTGCTTTAATGCCGTAACAATGAGTAAGATGTCTTGCAACCTCTATATCAATGCCGTAGTCTTGAACCAGTTTGATATAAAGATTAGGAGTGTACCCTTCTCCCCCTTCTAAAATCAAACCATCAGTCTGACAGTTCGTAAACTCTGGTTGTAGCCGACAACTTTTCACAGCTTCGTCGACTGTATCCGAAGCCATAGACCTATATGTTGTCCATTTTCCACCAGCTATCGTCACTAAATTTCCATCGCTCACGTCGATAACATGATTCCTCGCGAGTGCTTCGGTCTTCTTCGACTTCGGGTCTTTAACCAGTGGACGTATGCCGCTCCAAGCTGCTAAGACGTCTTCGTTTCGAACTACGGATAAGAAATAGGTGCACGTCCAGTTAGAAATAAGCTTGAACTAAAATATCGAAGGAACTTGTAGATGGCATAAAATTTACAGTCGAAATTGCCATCTACAAATCCGTGAGATGCCGCAAATCCTGAAATTGAATGCTTTAACAAGTTGTACAAATCGAACAATCCATATATTTTACCTGTTATATCTTCACTTAGATAATCTTTAATTTCATCCAAAATAAACTGAACTTCTGATTTCGTGGGTTTGGGACTGAATGTTAATTTGGTTGGCGTGTCCGTGGTACCTGCAACTGTTCTGCCTGAAATTGAGAATATGATACTGTATTTACATGTTCCCATGTGTCTTACACATCTATGCACAAACTGCAATACGCAATTGTCTGATTATAATTTCGCGTCAATTGTCTATGAGAAAAATGAGTAACACTTGATGGCCATATACTGGACTTCTATTGGAAGAGTCATGTGACAAGTTAAGCTTAGTTTAGGTTTTTCTACTGGGTCTCTTGGAAGAACAGTTTGAACTGATAGAGTATCCAGTGTAAAATATCGATGACTTTTTAGTAAAACTTTATATACAATTTTAGACCTTTTTGAGTTCATTTTGTTCACATTTAAGCCCTCCGAAAGGAATCGAACTTGCGGTCCTGCGATTCCAGCGCAGCGTTCTAACCAATGAACTACAGAGTTCAGTCGACCTTCAGAGTCGGTGAACTACAGAGTCAGTTCACATTAGTATATATTAGAGGTGTGCAAATCCGAAACCAATCCGATCCGAACGGATTTCGGAACCAAAATATTCATTTCGGATCGGATTGATAAAGTTGATTCGTAGTCGGATCGGACTTCGATATCCGAAATAAAATAAATTAATTATGCAGGCATTATTGCAATAATTAATTATCCGTGCATTTATCAAAGCATTATCGCGGTTGTCGCTGCATTATTCGTTTGATACCTCAATTAGACGTCACTTTGTCAGCTTCTTGACATGTATTTCTTGCTTTTATATTTATTTGATTAAATATTTCAACTTGAATGAGAAATTTATTTTGTTAAAGAATTCATCGGATCGGATTGGAATTCTTTATCAAAACTCAGATCGGATTCGGATTAGACAATTTCGGATCGGATTTTAAACATTAGGCAATTGTCGGATTATAAACGTCCAATCCGATGCACACCTCTAGCACAAATTAGGGTATACATACTAAGGTTATGCCAATGCAGTAAGGGTTAACTGATTACCAAACCATACCTTCCCAAGGCAAAAGAAATACTATCCGTCCATCACTAGTTTCTGGATTAAGAAAACCCATATTGCGAGGACTAAAGAATAGAACGAAATATGAGCAAACAGTCTAGTAGTACCTGTAACTTTCTGAAACCAATATAACAAAGGACGCTATTAAGCTAAGAATTAGAACATAACAGTATCATCCAGTCACGATCATGTCTATTGTCTTATTAATAATTTATGATAAAAGCTGAAAATCGGATAAAGATTTCATCCAAAATCCTAGGCTACAATCTTGTTCCCCAGATTACGTCCTGCCACTCGTGGTTTTGATGTTTGCACTTTTGTAAAGGCCCGCTCTTCTGCTGCGCTCTTGTAACTTACCCGCCTGCTCTGATATGACAATTCCTTACCTATAATATTCTGGCAATACTATATGTACTCCAGCACTTGGCTGACAGATGTTAGGTGTTGATGCATCATCCATCTTCCTTATATCATCCGTGTACGGCCCTGTGGCATTCACCACGCATTTGGCATGGACGTTCCACTCTTCTCGCGTGAGCTGGTCGCGAACACGCGCGCCACACACGATTTCTTTTTCAATGTCATCTGACAAGATATAAAACAGAGAATCTAAGTAAGGTTGACTGCTACTGACATTTGGCCATATTTACTGATATCTTTAAAAATATCTCATTGATAGTTGACATTTGGTTTGAACTATATAGCGGACAATTGGCATTCAAAGACCCCATCTCTTAAACGTGGTGGTGATATAGTGTTCTACAATAAGCTGTCGTGGTTTGTGTCTGAACAACCTGAAAAAGATATCTCAAACGTAGTGGTCCAGTGTAGGTAGTATTCTACAATAAGCTGCCGTGGTTTGTGTCTGAACTACCTGAACAAGATATCTCAAACGTGGTGGTCCAGTGTAGGTAGTATTCTACACTAACCTGCCGTGGTTTGTGTCTGAACCACTGAGCTATAATATTACTGGAGGACGTGCTCCTATCTATCCTTCAGTCAAACGAGTGTCCGGAAAAACATGGCGGATTTTCATGTTTGCTGACGCCAATTGGTTCCTCCGGCTCATGGTAATTACCACTGACCAACCGCGATCCTGCGCTTGAAATAAAATCCTTCACCCCCCTGGTTTTTGCAAAAATTTTGGTCATAATTTTCGAGTTTCGACCG